TATATATATTATAGATATATATATAATGAATATATTACATACAGTAATGTAATAAATGCGATAATATAATATTAGGTAAGCTTATCGAAGAAGTTCATTTAGGTCTGATAAAAAAGAAATAATAAATAAAATAAAATAAAAGAGAGAAAATAAGGAAAAATCATTTGAGTACCTTATAGTTTGGTGCTCAAATTTAACAGAGAGGTAGCAACTTGAGAAAAAAAATTAAGACACATTTTTTAAAAAAAATAGGATTTCTTCTCTATACACATTTTTCCTTTTAAAAAATATACAGTATACATTTTTTTGGTAAGAATATAAGGTTGAAAATAGGTTTGAAAATAACTAACTACCATGGTCAAAACTAATTATTATTATTTATTTTTTTTTAAAGAAAAGAGTAATTTTTATATCTGTATAGTCAATTCATTATTTTTTATCTGACATTGGTATTGCTATATTATAATAAAGTTAACATTTTCACTGCTAGAAGAGGAAAATGTCAAAAAATTTAACCTGAACAAAAATAATACACATATTATATTGAAAATTCCAGGATGAATAATTTCTATAGCAAACAAAGCAAAACACTAGTACTTAAAATTTATCTTCGAAGAAATTTTTTAAATGAAATATTAAATTTAGTCTTTTAGTTTAAAAAGAAAAAAACGCTTAAACACACACAATTCAATGTAACTTTGGTAAAATTCTTAAAGTGGAAGTATGTTAAGTATGTATTCATCTAATCATTCCTTCAGATTTTATTTATTTTTGTAAAAAATATAGAAAATTTCAAAAATTATATTCGCGCAGTAAACAGTTCTTCTGGAATTACAGAGCATAAAATGGATCAAAAGTTAAAAAAAATAGAGCACAATAAAACATTGAGATATATTTGTAACTTTGAGTTCTATTTTCTATATGTTTTCAGGGTGTCCAGTGAGATGACATTTTCAACTTCTCTATCTATACCCAGTAGATCCAAGATTTTTCCTGTATCACGCAGATGATATTTAATATTAAATTGTATTAAAAAAATACTTCATCATTTAAAATATATAATCAATCAGAGTAAAATTTTAAAAAATAACATTGTTGGACATTTTAATATTATAAAATAAACGCTATGTATTTGAAATTAAGATAGGTTTCATTCGAAATCTTAAAAAGGGCATTATATTCTCTGAAAGAAGAACATTCGTTATAAAAGGGAGCATTCCATTTCACAGATATTTGCATCGCTTTTAAGAAACCCAAAATATACTAAGTCTATAATCATAGCATTAAAAAATCTTATTTTCGAAGGGATAGTTTAAATCAAAAATAATTCTGAGGATAAATTAAGGCATTTAATAAATTGGTTTTAAAATTAAAGTAATTCTCATATTTTGAAAGTGTTGCTGTCGTAATAACATATTAAAAATATTATATTTTAAAAATGATGTCAAAATGGCAGAAAAAACAATAAGTAACTGTAGCAACTGCCAAAAAAGGCATTGATATTTTATGTGGATTTGAGATTGAATCTTCTCAAATAAAACATGTAAGAGAGTGATTACTAAAATAAAAAATTCACTAACCATTATATTGTATAAAAATATCAGAATAGGAAGGGAAAAAAAGCACACTGAAACAGCTGAAAAAAAGAAGAGACAAATGTAAAAACGATCTTTAAATGACATAGATTTACGATAAAATAGTTGCGAACTGAGCGAGTCAAAAAGTGACTCCTTAAGCTCAAAAGGCACTCTTAATATCACTCTAGATAACTTGATAACATTCTATAATGAACAACAGACTTATTAAAAAAAAAACTGCGGAAAGGCAGAAAAATTATTTATTTATTTTTTCCAATGGCAGGCACTGAATTTGAATCTCTGCCTATACTATGCCAGAATTGTTGCTCATTTCGCGTTACCCAGTGGGCACCTGTGAACCAAAGTCACGGAGGCGAGCAACATTGCCTACGCCACACAGTCACAAATCCGTTTATAGGGTGGGCCTCATTCACGCATCATACACACACACAGCAGAGGACAGCACAAAGAGAGAGAGAAACATCCATGCCCAGAGCGGGATTCGAACCCGCAGCCTATGGCTTCGCAGTCAGGCCACCTGGCCGGTGCAGAAAAATTATAAATAACATCAATGTAAAGTTATTATGGATTTGTCAGGAATCGAACATATCAAAAAGTGGTAACTCAAATTCAAAATTCTTAGGTTGTAATAACATTGCATTAAAAACATCTAAATTTGAAAAACCAAAAAATTGGTAAATAGCTTGTGAAAGAACAATCATCAAATGACGTGAAATGATGATGGTATTGTCACTAATTAAACATGCCAACTAAATTCATCAAAATGTGAGAACTCAAATTCAAAATTTGCAGGTCGTAATGACATAGTTCTTAAAATATCACAATTGTTGGAAATCTATCACAGAATGACGCAAAATTACGATGAAATTGCTAGAATCCAATTCGCTCCAAACTCCAAATTTCGAACATCTTAATAGTATTGTATAAAAATATCGGAATTTGAGAAACCATGTAAAAGGGACTGAAAATTAAATACATATACACTTATAATATAAAATAGAAAATTAGAAAAAATAGAAAATTATATAATCTCCAAAAAACTATTACCAAAAGATGAGAAATTATGATGGAATCATCATCACAAATCGAACGCTTCAGAAAAGTGATGGCTCAAATTTGAAATTCACATGCCACCATAAAGTATTAAATATATCAACTTATCTGTCATAATTGGGAAACTCATAGGGAAAAGACAGAAAAAAATGAGAAATTACTGCTGAAAAAACAACTGAACAGTCTGGAAGAAAACTTTTTTGTGCCATTCTTAGTGAAGCGCTGCTCACAAATGGAAGCATCTTTTCCTTGTTTTACTAAAACTTTTTTAGAAATTTTCTGAAATTTCCAGAATTAATTAATTCTCCAATGATTTCAGGTTTTTCCTATTTTTCCTGATTTTAGGAAATCACTGTTTTAAAATAAAGAGCCCTTTCATAAAATTCATTAAAAAAATTTTTTTATTTACACAATAAATATTGCTATTTAACACCACTTGACTTAACATTCTCTATCAACACTATTAAAAAGTATGTCATTGAAAAGAAATGTCATTACCCGTGAATTATATTAAAGAGAGATTGACTCAATTTTAGACCTAGTCTGGGTTTAATGTATGTCAGAGCAGCAAAACTGGATCAATTATATAACTCTATGTAATTATTGAACAAATGTAACTTAATGTAATTAGAAAAAAAATGTAAAATTTTTTGTTTTTATATGTTATTTGTCTTTAACCTTTTATTTCTGCCAAATTTAAACATTAAATTGACATTTAATTTTAGGGTTGGTTAAGTTTCAATGTTGAAATTAATCCGTAATGCTCAACAAATTTTTCCTGAACTAGGAGAGTCCAATCTCTAAACACAATGCCTCTGGAACTGCTTATACTGCTTACTTTTGCTCATTTTGTTTACTCATGTCCCCTCAGTTTTAATTAATACCCCACTTTTATAGTTAGATTTCTTGCATACTTTAATTTAAATATTTCAAAAAGCTCAGTACCCTAACTGCTAGCAATCGCTACACCAAGTGTAAATATGCATAATCTAGAAGAGTGCATCAAATCATGTTATAAACTAAAATAGCACAACACAAAAAAAAAACACTAGGAAACTGTTTATCTGGATAAAACCAACCACCCAGAGATAATGAAGACTTATGAAACTACACATTATTTTATGAGTTTTGACAATTTAAAATACAAAATAGCATGTAAATCAATATATTAAATTTCAAATTCTGTAAGACAACTTATTCATAAAACATACATTATGCAAATTTTAAAAAAAGGAAGGGAAAAAAAAAACATACTGCAGCTTATATACAGACGGGCTTCCATTTTGAAATTTGATAATTTACCAATTTGAAATCTCAAATAAACTAACAAGGTTTTAATAAAATCTAGTAAAAATAGAAATCCAATGCCACAAAAATTAACTTTTTGAAACACAACACATATTTTAATGTTTTGCGTAAATATTGTTTCAAGTTATGTGTTTGAAGAAAATAATTCATGTGGCACTAAAAGGTAATCACTACTTTGCTTAAATTATTAATGATGATGAAACCATTAACTTTAATTGAGTTTTAATAGTTATTTTATTACAGAAGATGCATAGTTTTACTCATTCATAAAAAATAAAATTATCAGGATATTAGCAAAATGACATAAAAATATAATTAAAAAAATTATCCATCTAAAAGAATTCTTACAACGGATTGGATGACTTTGTTGAAGATCTCTTAAAATGAAAATTATTGACTATTGTTTCATTGAGTGAGTAGTCATATTTCCGCCGACTGTCCTCATTTACGAGTATAGAATAAGCATTATTCAATTCAACAAACTTTCTATGCTGTGCAGCATCCCCAGGTTTCATATCAGGGTGAAGCTATAAATAAATATGAAAGACATATTAAGAATATTTACATAATTTAAAATATAATGCTGCATTAGGTTTTCTAGAAATTAATTAATAATATTAGGTGCTTTAATTAAATCTGTGTGTTTAAATGTTTGGAATCCTTATAAAAATAGAAGTTAAAAAACTATGCACATCAAGCATAACAAATCAGTACTCAAATTAGAATGATCATTTTTCCTTTTTCTGCAAAGAAGTATTAGTTCATCATTTTTGCTTACATAATTTTTGCCTGAATTTGAATTTAATAAAAAAATATTTGAAAAGTATTTAATTTCCTGGCAAATATATTATAAAAAATATTTTAATAAAAAATGTAGTGCTTTGAACAGTAACGCTTATAAGAAAAAAATATCATATTTGCCACCAACATGACTAAATATGCATGCAGCCCTTTGTTAATCAACCTGCTGTGTAAGCGGTCATTCAATCAAAAAGGTTGTGCACCCCTACTTTAACGAAATATCGAATAAAAATTGTGATAGAAAAATGTATAATAAGCCTTACTTCTTTGCATAGTTTAATGTAAGCTTTTTTCACATCTTTAGAAGAGCTGGTATTTTTCAAACCAAGGACATCATAAAGATTTCTAAAATAAATTGAAATCAATAAATATGCATATTTTAAATCAATACATAAAATTCAATTGCATCGTAGTTGTTATCTCTAACAATTGCTCCCTTCTTTCCAGCTATTTAAACTCATAGCGCTAAGAAAAATATCCATTTCAGCAATTCTTTACAAAGCAGAGGTTACAGTTACACAATGCACGGACATATAAATACTCAAATTCTGTTCAAACAAAATCTATTGCAGAAGAAATTTAGGAGTTACAATATATTTTTCAAATTAGCAAACAAGACATAAATACAATGTATTAAAAGTCTGAATCAAAATTGAAAGTCCTACTATTTTTTTTAATCAGGAAAATTTGAATATTTTTGTTAAAAAAAAAAAAATTGTAAAAAAAATTAAGCGAAAATTAAAATGCATATTGGAAAAATAATGTAGATATTAGGGCACAATTTCATCGGTTAGCAAGTAGACAATCGCTAGCCCCGTGGCAGAATTGCGACAACATGGGCGACATTGTAGCAGAACTTTCAGAGTTCTTGAAGATACTTATCTTGCGGGAAATAAAAATTTTTGGTTTGTTTCTCTGCAGAAATTTACACTTAAAATTTGAATTGCGTATTTAAATAATCACTTTTTGAAGTGCTCAATTTATGCCAACATCATAAATCCATTTTGATAGTATTTTCAGCAGCTATTAACATTGATTTTCATGAGACTTTTAGACATACCAATATATTTCAGGTGATATGGGAAATTCGAATTGCGCATTTAATTTTTTACTTTTTAAAAGCAATGATTCTATCGATTTTTTTTATCAGTTATTGCTTTTGGTTTCCACATAGTTTTTAAAACCTGATATTATTTATTGCAACAATCAAATCTTGAAACGAAACATGCAATTGAGTAAACCTTTTCTGAATAGTCTGATTCGTATGACTACGTTGTTAATCTGTTTTTCGGTAATTACTACTACAGATTTAATGATATTTATTTATTTTTTCATGTGATGATGATTTGCAATATGCGATAAAGGAAATTATCAGTGCAAAATCTCCCCCCAACAAAATGCGAGAATATCACCCATAATATCAGAACCAAAAAAAATATTATATATTCAATTAAAAAAATTATATTGTTTTTGTAAACACAGCATTTTTGTTACCTTAAATTAGTAACATACATCTTTGTTATTATTGAAAATATCTTGCAGAAAAATATTAGAGCTGAAGAGTCACAGAAAGCCTGAAAAATTCCGTCACGGGGATCGCTAGTTAAAATAAAATTCAATGCTTGTTAAAGAAAATGCAGTAGCAAAAATTGCTAGTAGCCTCTAATAGTCTTAAGATTAGAGACATAGAAAGATTTGATAAATAGACGATCATTAAGATGGATTGTTCAAAAGAAGACATATTCCACCTATGATAAGAACCAGGGTTGTGTTTTTGACATGACAGTGGTAAAATGCGTGTTTTTACCGGTAAAATCAGTCAAAAACCTACTGTTTTCTTTAATTTATGGCATAAGCGGACAATATATTATTTTCACATAATTGCCTTTATAAATTAATGTTGTAAATGATTGCTATTGCTATTGGTTTTGCAACTATATACATGCATTCTTATAGAAGGATATACATTCATACAGAAATATTGTAATATACTTATTGAAAATAGTGATACTTACTTTTATCATTATAGCTTGATTTGCAAAGGATTCAAAATTTTGCACTTCCTAATTGTTAAAAATAAACAAACAAACAAAAAAGCTTGGAACTGTTAATAAATTCAGGAACTAAAATGAAAAATTTTAAATTCGGCATTTCTTAAATATTAGAAATAAGCTAAACAAAACTTTCAAAACTTGTAACTACTAACTAACTCTAAGTCAAGAATTACTGCTATTTTGTCAAGTTAAAAGCTTTTATTCAGTTGAAAAAGCACATTAAATGAAACTTAATTACAAACAAAATTACATGTTCAGTAGTCGGGGTCACTGTGCCGAAGCATACGATAGCAAGTGACTAATTTTGCGTATTTTTCATTGCCCAGTCGATTTCTGAGTTTGGTATGGATGAGTCCAAAATTCGAGAATAATGAGGATTCGAGATCATTGTGGATAATGATAACAAAAGGTTATTGCAATGTTGCAAGGAATGTTGCAATGTTGTGTTCCTCAAAGCAAGATTTTATGAATGAAAGTGATCAATCTTGACATTCTTTAGTAATGTAATATGCCAAACAAAATGATGCTTGGAAATGTTGAAAATTTTGTATTAGTATCCTAATATTTTACTTCAAATAGTATGTTTTGATATAATCATGTTGGGAAAATGCAGGAATCTGTTCTCAAATATCTTTTAACAACTTTTTTTGAAATTTTATTGCTCAAAAAATGAATTAATTTTAAATTATAAGCAGTTAAACTGAAATAAAAATACAGTTTTACCCAAACTATGGGTTTTTGACATGACTTTAAAAACCATGGTAATAACCGGTAAATACCATCATGTGTCAAAAAATAGATCGAATTATATCAAATGATATAATTCAATCTATTTTTTCTTCTATTTTTTCGTCAAAAAATAGAAGAATTATATCAAATGATATCAAGATTGAGAGATAAACTTAAAGTCCCTCTAACTACAAAAGACATCAAAATATTGAGTAGAGTGTAGAATAAGGTACTTTTTAGATTGGGAACAGGACCTAGGAGCTTTTTCTGTAAATAAAATCCTTCACTTTCCTATTATTTCCATCTCACTTACTTATTATTAAAAAAATCGCACTTTTAAATCATTTTCTCTGCTTTCAATAAAAACATATATAAAAAAAACTCTAAAATATGAAGGACATCGCATTGTTAGTTATGCTTTTCATTCGACTTTCCATACAAAAATAGTTGAGCGGACAATATATATATGAATAGAAAACTTATACTGTTAATTCTTTGACAAAAAATAAAAAAAATAATAGCAACCCTCCATTAAAAAATTTGTCAGTTTTTAATTAACTATTTTAGATATAAAATCAAAAATTGTATTTTTTAATTATTTAGTAATGGTAAAACAAATTTATTCACATTTTAATACAGTAATAATTTGTAATATCAATTTTATAAAAACTATAATATCAGTCCCATGAGCTTCTTCTCCTTATGCCACTTTCTCGACGTCATTTCATATGTACGTGACTATTTCCTGTTAAAGTTTTTTTCAAGTAAATTTGAAAAATAATCTCACAATAGCTTAAGAAGGAGAATTTCAAAATAAAAAAATTATGCTTTACTCCATGTCCTTTGCTTGTAATGTCATTCACATTTCATATTTTTACTCTAAATAAAGCACTTGAAATTTTCATCCCTTTTTTTATTTACATTCCTTTGCATGGTCTGGGTCTGAATAATATTAAGATATTGAAAAACATCGCATGTAATTTTCAAAAAAATTTTTTTTTAATATTTATTAATGAAAAAAAGTTCAAAAATAGGAAAACCTATTAAAATGCAACAGTCATGTAATCAGTCATGGTGCATTTGCTGATATCACAAAACTTGTTATAGCTTCACAAATATACTTAAAACCCAAAGATTTAGTAAAATAGCACAAAAGCCGTAATGTTAGCTTTAAAGCTTACTCAATTTCGTTTAAAAGTTATTCAGAACATTTTGCTACAAAGTGCTTCAATTACTAGTTACAATTAAAGGTCAAATAAAGATTTCACTCAGGCAAATATTCTTATTGTGTTTCCCAAAAGTTTTCAGAAATTATTATTTATAATATTTAGAAAATCTCTTTATTTACCTAGAGGCTGAATGTTTGCTGTAATTCTTCAAAGGAATAAAACAGATTGAGGACGATGGCTTATAATGAATAAATTTGAAAGAATATAATAAAATTCTTCTACATATCATTATACAGATAAATCATTACAATGTTGCTCGTTAGCAGGAATTGCAGTTACATTTTAAAGTTATACCATAACACCAGACGAGCGCTGTCATATTACATACAATTTTTATCATATTACATACAAGCTATTATTTACAATTTATAAATCGTAAGAAAAAACGTTTCCAGCTGTTTATTTTTGCCTATCTTAGACGGCTAAGGCATGCTTAAAACCTTTGCATTTTTCAAACGTTCAGCTCAATACAATCAGAGTCATCAAAGGGGCAAAAATAAGTGTTGATTTCTTGTCAAATTTTATTCTGAAAAAAAAAAAGTGTAAACAAAAATCGAAAAATAGATTTTGATTTCAAACCTGGTGATCAAGGATAATGAAAACTTCAGTGGCAAAAAATTATACTAACTTCTTACTTAGTGATTATAAAGTATAGTATGTACTTATTTAAAATTACTTTACCAAACTATTATGTACTCTTATTTTTTTTATGCTTTTCAAACTAAAATGAATCCTGGCTCTTCGGTGATAATGAATAGGAAAATGTAAAAGTAGCAACTGGAAATGAATAAACTAGTCTGTACTGGGAAAAAACTGTTTCTGTTATCAAAAACATTTTTGCAATATAAAATATGGCGAGACCAGTGGGAGCGTTATAAGTAACGAATCTTCTCTAATTGCTACTTTTTTTCTTAGTTTGTTAAGTAATGTGCTACTTATTTTTTCTTTTTTTTTAAATATATGAAGGGCATGGCGAGTAGTAGGAACTAGCTCGTCACAAGCAACGAAACTACTCTATTTGTTACTTTTTTTCGTAGTTTGTTGAGCAATGTGCTTATTTTTTCTTTTTTTAAAAAAAGTAGTAGAGCGATACAGGAAAGAGTGAAAATACTGACAGCTTCTTTACTTCACACTAGATTAGTATAAAAACTGATGCTAGATTAGTATAGAAATAGAATGATAATAAAATAAATTGCTATAAAATATGCAAAGCAAACAATTTTTAATGAAGCTTTCTACTTAACGAATATTCTACTGATTTTTTTAATTAATTCCTCTAAATTTTTAATTATTGATTTGCTTTTTTATAAAGTGTCACTTATTTTATGATAATTAGTCTCATAAACTCAAATGTCTAGTCTCATAAACTCATTTTATTCCAGTAATATCATCTGAAGCTCTTTCTATTCATAATTATTTTCCCTTTTTCATTCTTAGAAATATAATTCAATAATGTAATTGGTGCCTCTTATTTTAAAAACATCCCTATGTCATAGATGATTGCTCTGGAAAAAAATCCGGATTTTTCACTAACCATGATCTGGAAGTTTCCTTAAAACCAGGGTCTAGAAGTTTCAAGAAATCATCCATCCCATTATCGCATAAAAATTCTTGAATATTTTATTTAAAAATATTAGAGCTAGAATTTATACTTGGCATCTCTTTCATTTGTAAATATTTTTTCCGGTAGAATTTTTATAGAAATTTTATCGTCAATGTATTTATAGATAAAAGTAAGCTTTTACGTAATTATATTCTTTTAAATTATGCTGCATATGATTTATTTAGAATTTCATGCTTTGAAAATATCAATGATTTAAATTTATAAAAACATAAATTTTTTGAGATGCATTGTTAATGATTTTACTCAGAGAATTTTCAGGATTTTTGAATTGTGCTCACAATCACCCCTGCTATATTATTACTCAAAACCACAAGGTTTGATGAATGTAGAATTCTTCAAAAGAAAATAAAAAGATTATATTTAAATGATTGATTATAACATATGTTATATAGAAGTTATCTATTGTTGATTAAGATGTTTTATTAAAACTTTGGTTTTTATTTTATGAAAATGTCAACATATTTCTGATTTTTTTGTGTGAAAAATTGGATTTTCTTTAAAATTTTTCGTATTAAATTATAGTCTTGTAGCATAAAATTCACTCTTGCAGTGACATTGTAAATTAAAGACAATGTTTAAAAAATAGGTTATTTTGTGGTTAAAATTTTGACAAATTTGTGATTAAATTTTTTTTGTTCTTATATAAAAATGCAATTTTTTGTTTTTCATTTAATAAAATAATTTTGTTATTAAATGTTTTTTTTTATAAAAATTATCTCTCTTTGTAGCTATATACTAAGGGTATGGTGTGATTGTAAAGCAAATGGGTTATATATTTTGTATGATTAGGATGTTCTAAATGATGCCTAATTAGACCTAATTTTTTTTTTATTAATAGTTCTCTGAGTTTGTACTCTTTCATTCATGTATATAATTTTGCTAATCAAGTTGTGTATCACATATAATAAACTTACTGAATCCTTTTTTAGGTGCCAATCGAGAATATTGCGTTTTGCAAAATGTTGATGAAGGTCTATCCTCAAAGAAATAAAATCAGCCTTCTTGCTTGTGAAGTTAACTCAGACAACTATTGAAACCAGAGTTTCCTTAGGTAATAAAGAATTTATTCCTTGCATTCTACCAGCCTGGCTTTTTTAGAAAATGTCAAAATTTATTTAAACTTTAAAACTTAAACAAATGTTAAAAAATTGTGTGCATCAGGTTGTGATTTTTTTTTTTTTGTTGTTTTTTTTTATAATTTTGGAGAACATTTTATTCTTAGTTTATAAAGCTACTAAATCTAAAATGTTTTTAAAACTTAATCCTTGACTTTTTTTTTTTAAATTGTGTGATATTTTTTTAGGCATGCATTATAATTAATAGACTATATTCACAAGAAAAGTCATTGATTTCTTGTTGCATGTGCATTGCATTTCTTAGAAAATTTCAAAATTTATTAAAAATTTAAAACTTAAGCAAATGTGAAAAAATTATATGCATGAGGTTGTGAATTTTTTTTAAAAATAATTTTAGATAACATTTTTTACATTGTTATAGAACTACTAAATCCAAAATGTTTTGAAAACTTTAATCCTTTAGTTTTTTTTTAAATTGTGACATTTTTTTAGGCATAGTATTATAATTAACCCTTTACTTACCTCTTGTAGAATAAAGGGACCAGAATGACTTCATCATGTAAGCAAAAGGTTAATAAACTAGTTTGACTAGTAAAGTCATTGATATGTTTTTACATGTGCTTGAAATGCTGTGATATTTTAAAAAATATCTTTACTAGTGTGTTATACAATGATACAATATTTGCAGTTTATATTAGTATTTTGTTTTTTGACATATTTTTGTAGTTTACATATAGCAAACATAAGTTTTTGAACCAGTTTTTTACATGCATACATATATATATACAGAGGACTGTCCAGACATTTTGTGAAAGGTCCTGTTTTTGTAAAATTGTGGGAAAAAACTATTCATAATCTGTGAATATAAAATAAGCGTTAAGTCACATTCTTTCACCCAGGGTCCTGCTTTTGTGAATTTGTGCATATAGGGTCCTGTTATTGCAAAAATTGCTAAATACCTTTTTTTTGCTAAAAAAGAAGTTTTTAAATTGTAAATAGATACAAGATTCTGCTCAACAATTGCTGCTACTAAATTAGAGGTGCAACATACAAATATTTGGTATTTAGCCTATACTGCTCAACACAGAATATTCATTTCGGACGAATAATGGAAACAAAATCACTCACGTTTTTAATAATTTTAATTGACGTATTTTAAATAACACAACTTAGTAATGTATCACTTTTAATGTATTACACATTAAGTAAACTTAAACAATTCTTAAATTTATAATATTTTATTTAAAAAATTGCCAGAAATAAATTTTTATTTACATAATATTCTATTAATTAATTTAATGAATAAATATAAATTGATCAATAATTTATTTTCAAGCAAAAAAAAATTTGATTTAATATTAATAAGAATGCACACACGATGTTTGTAAAAGTAGAAATATTTTCTTAGAATATACTACATTTGGAATTTAAACTTAGGGAAACTTAGTTTATCTCGAACCGTCTTTCTCCCCCCCCCCCATCGGGAAGGGTTTATTCAATTAACAAACCAATAATGAAGATAAACAAATTTGTTAAGGTTCCGATTAAAAGATAAATTATTTTGTGAAGGGTCCGTTAACGGACCCAAACTTCTTCTAAACAGACTGCTGATATATATATACATATATCACAGAAAAGGGCATTTTGAGTTGAGTTTTGAAAGGGCAGTCACTTAAAACTGGAAAAAATTATCAAAATATATCATATTATGTAGTAACTGATTTTGATCCTCAACAATTTTTAAATTACTCTTTTATACTATTATATGTGTACATTTCAAAAAGTAATTCTTTCTCATTATCAAAATAACAGAAAAATTTGTAGTTTATAAGAGTTAATTAAAGGCATGCTATAAAACAATCTCTGTGCATAATTTCTTTTTCAAAAAAAAAAGCTAACTAATTTTTTTTTTCATTAATTAACAACATGAAATCTTTTTGTATAAATTAAACTGAAAATTATAAGAAAATGAACATTTAAAGATGAATATTTGTAAATAAGATATTAATTTAAGAAAATTATTTTAAAATCACCTGAAAAATTCATTAATATAAAAAAAAAGCAAATCTTGAGAATAATCCTAACTGACAAAGTAAAGATTTGAAATAGTAATCAGAATTAAACCTATAAACACAGATTATTTTAACAGTATATGATTATTTCAACAGTGAATGAATTTTTAAAAATCGAATACGAATAAAAACGCTGTGTTTTTACTGCTCTTCTAAATAGGCTTAGGGGAACACGTACTTGTATATATATTTTCTAATAACGTTTTTGTTTAGCAGAGGTGCAGTTTACAGTTGTTTTTGTGGAATGTTAATTTATTGTTACCCAATAATGTTTATCTAAAAATGCAGTCTTAAGTGAATAATCTTAAAATTTACTTCTTTTGATTAATAAAGCCTACTATTAATTTAAAATTAGCAGTTGAACTATTTTTTTAATTATTCAAAGACAAGTTATTGCATTAGAAGTGTATTTGTAATAATTATTTTATCTAATATATTTTATTATTTAAACAAAATTTTTTTTCTTAAATTTATTTAATAAAGTAATGTGTGAAAACAATTTGAAATGTCAATTGAGAGGCATAAATAGAATTTTGGAATAACATATTTTACAACTGCAATAAAGAACAGTGTAATTCTCTAAGTAAATCAATATTTTGAATAAAAGAAAAACTTTTTAAGTTTTTTTTTCTTAATTTTTAACAGTGCGAGAAGAAATTATATTTAATTATTAAAATATGGAGAGAAAAAAATTGAAGAAATTATATGCTTTGCAAAATTATTCCATTTAGTGATTAATTTTGTAGTTTAATATTTTGGACCCTAATAGATCATGTGTTTTAGGTATCAACATTATTATCAGATTAAACTTAATATTGATGCATCCTAAAAATGCAACTATACGCCTTTCCTGGATCCCTGGTATCTTTTATTTATTGTAGCTCATATTTTGTTAATTTAAAAAGCAGAAATTTTATATATAATTTTTATAATAAAATTTATCAGTGATTTAGAGCTAGAAATTGTAAACTGTGCCGCACCTTGCTGTACCGTAAACTTAATATCCAAATGAAAATGAAGTATACTTTGTGCTACTTATAAATAAAGTGCAAATAATGGCATAAAAATTAATATATTGAAGTTTTGGCTTCAAAAACAAGAAATGTCAAGGCTTTAAGGAAGATTCTTGTTTATGGAGCACAGTGCTATATGCTTTTTTTTCACAGTGTTATTTTCTTTATTTGATGTTCACTTTGCTACAATAATCTCCTCATATAAAAAATATCACACGGATGTTTCAAAACAATATTTTTTTATTATAACTTTGCATTGAGTGTATGCATATAAATTGAGAATTTGATTGGTGTAATTTAATCAGACCGGGATCACTCAGTGCAAGAGGAATAGTCCCTAAAATTCCAGGTTGAATATTATTGTTTGTTAAGCTTTCAATATGTACTGCAGTGAGTTTGTTTCTCTTAGATTATTTTAAATATTGAAAAAAAATTGAACAAAAAAAAATTAGAAGGAACTATTAACTAAACTTTCAAAAAATGTTCATAGAAGAGAAAATGCTTATAACTTAAAGGTTTATGATATCAAAGCAGACTATATAAGCCCATGTAGCTGATCTTGTGCATTAAAATTATTTTAATAATATGTAAATTGTCTTTTAATAATATAAAGATGTATAAATTCTTCCAATATAATTTGTAATTTTAATCAATTTGAATAAACTCAGTAAATAAAAATACTTTTTTAAAGTATTGTCTTGTTTCTCTAAACATAAACCTCTTACACTTGTCTTTGGTTGCTGACAGCTAAGCATAGGTCGTTTCATTTTTATTGAAGAAAATTCACGAGATTTTATATCTATATAATGTCTACATGATGTGACATATACTGCAAAACTAGAGTTGGAAATTTATTTTTCATGTTACATTAAAAAACTGTATTACATTTAAAAAAAATCTTAAAATATTTATAAAAATTCGAGTAATGATTGCATTGTGGATAAAAATATTTTTATTAGGATAATGCTGTATTTTTAAGACGGATAAAACTGCAATGTGAAACTAACTGAAAGATTTTGATTGTGTTGAGTGTTATCTTTATTGCTGTTGCATGTTGCTGAGAAGCTCTGCCTTTTTTTTCCCTAATAAACTCAATTTTAATGAGCAAAATTTGACAAAAATGTTAGTTTTAAGAAATTCCCCTTTAAATATGTTCTCAAAATAATAAGATTTTAAACTTAGTTGTATAGCATTTAGTGGGAATGTTTATTAATATATATTCGTAGAATGAAATCATATGCAGGGAATTACTATTGCAACTATTTTTTTAAAACTATTTTATAAAGACATTTATTTAAATGTTGACTCTTATACTAATTTATTCTTTAATCTTTTTTTAGATCATAATCAAGAAGTTTACTGTTCTACTCAAGTATGTTGAGATTATAAAATCAAGCTCATTGTGACCCTATAAATTAAACATTAACTTTGCTCAATTCCTTGCAATTAGTAACTTGAATATGAAAATTCTGAATAATGGAAATTATTATATTTTCTTTTACATAAAATTTGGTATTTCTGAAAATCATGACTATTTATATTTTGTTACTTTTGGAAAATGTTAAGCAATGAAATATTAGTTCAGCATTAATTAGCTATTTTTGTTCATGGCTTAAAACTATTGTACTTATTGAAATAACTAAAATTCATTTGCGACTGGTGTGAGCTGAAAGAAAATTTAAAAAAAAGCTTAATATGTCAATGTTGTGATGATTCCTTTTCTAATCAAAGGAATCTAACAAAAACATCTTCTAACTTTTAAAAATCATTCTATTAAAATTGATCATCAATCTAGAATCATGTGTGATAAAAAATTTAAAAATAAACTTTCTTTAATAGATCATAGTATTGTTCACAGTGAAAAAAAGTATTTCTTGTGCAATGTATGTAACAAAAGTTTTTCATGCAAGATTACTTTATTTAATCATAGTATTATTCATAGTGGTATAAAACCTTATTCTTGTAATGTGTGTAATAAGAGCTTTACTCAAAAATCTCATTTAAATCGTCATAGTTTCTTTCATACTAATAAAAATCAATTTGTTTGTAATTTATGTAAAAAAACTTTTAGAACAAACCTTTCTTTAACGGACCATATTGCTCTTCATACCGGTGAGAAGCCTTTTGTTTGTGATATATGTGATAAAAGTTTTATACGAAAAGAGAGGCTAGCTAAGCATAGCCTTCTTCACTCAAATAATAGTAAATCCTATTCTTGTGATGTATGTAATAGGAGGTTTTCATCAACATCTGGTTTAAATTCCCACTATATTGTTCACACTGGTGAAAAACCATATTCATGTTGTATATGCAATAAGAGTTATACTTATAAAAGTAATTTAACTCGCCACTTTCTTATTCATGCTGGTGAAAAATCTTATTCTTGTAGCACATGTGATAAGAGTTTTAGAAAAAAAGGTATTTTGACTCGTCATTCTTATATTCATACTAGAGAAAAATCTCATTATTGTAGTTTATGTAATAAAGGGTTTTCAAAGAAAAAGTATGTGCTAAGTCACTTAAAAGTATGCACTAGTCTTATTCAAGCTGTTGTTAAAGTAAAAAGAGTGTCTTTATCATAAAACATCATAAGAAGACTACAAGGGAAAATAATTGTATGTAATGTGTGGGAAGACTTAAAAGCTTAACTAAATCTGACCCCAAAATAGAAGTAGTCTAAAGTATGAATAAAATATGAAGTAGTCTATGAAGTAGTCTAAATTTATGAATAAAATAATAAAACTAAGACACTTTAAACAGAAAGCATAATTTTCAATTATACATTCTAACTAATGTTTAATGCCACTCAAGTAAAAGTTCATTACTGGATCATCATCCACAGCTGTTAAAAAAAAGTATATTGATGCGAAAATTTGTTGTTGCTCCTTTGGAAATTTAGAATTATAGTGGCAAGGTAGGTGTCAATCATATTAAATGTATATATCTTATTTAAATAAATAGTTTATTAAAGAAAGTCACGAGCAATGAAGTTTAACATATAAAATTACAATGGAGATTTGAAAAATATTTTTCAGCATATCAACGTCAAATTTTTATGAAGTTAATTTCCATCTGATTTCATATCATATCAGGTGATGAATTAGTCATTTTTTTAAAAAAAATTTCTTGTTTGCATTTTTTTTTTTTGTTTTTTTTTTGTTGCTGAATGCTGCATTAATAAACTGAAAAAGAAAAGCATGATAAATTCATAAAGGCTGAATTCCTTTAATATTTTTGGACTGTATGAATGGTGTTTTCTACACTTGGGAGTGCTGCAAGCTCTTGACTGCCTATATTTCCATGTTACTGTTTTTGGTGTGTTTTGAAGCCATCTGGCTCACAACATGATCATTTTGTTTTGAGACTCTCTTAAGTAGCGTTTCTTGTATAGGTGTATTTGTTACCTGATTTTTTTATCTGTGTTTGAAAGAAGAATCGTTATAAAAATCCTCATTTGAAGACCTGTCATATCGTTATAAAATATCTATGGTTATAAAACACTTCTTACCTTGTTAACAATGTACCAACTTTGAAATTTAAACATAAATGATAATATGTAAAATGAACTTAATCTCGCTGCTCGTACAATATGCTAACACTAAGGTATGATGATGCATGGCTTGCACCAAGAACAAACTGTAATAAACAAGTAAAAAGAGGCCATATCAGAACTGCCAATAAAGCTAGCTCTTTCTAAATCTAGCAGCCATGTCACCTTTTTTAACAATACATCTCTAAATAACTAAAAAAAAATTTTACTTCAAACTCACCAGAATTACTTAATATCATTAATATCTTCTGAAATACAGCAGGTTCGAGCTCAGAAATTATGTAATTTTTTTTCATTAAAAATAAAATTATCTGTTTGAAAATATCACCTTGCAGAATAAGCAGCTGTATACTTACTAATAGAAGTATAGCGGGTAAAGAACTGGAGATTGTTGTTGTTTACACTTATATTGAAAACACCCTCCATATTCAGGGCTAAAGAGAATAGAAGGGCTAGTTCACTCTGCTCTTAGCTGCTCTGAAGCTACGATTTCCCTCCTCATGACGTCACTGTGTCCACAGATCTCGGAGATCGCAAGCAAAGATATGATAACTTTGCATCTTTCTCTTTGTAAAAATAAGTTAGACTTTTTCTGGTTATTAGCTTTCAAACTTTACGTAATTAACACATTATTTCCGTTCATAAACATAGTTCAAAAAAACTTTCTTGGTTATTATATTTAAAAAAATACCATTTTAAACTTATAAAAATGTTTTACTGGTTGGCGAAAATGACACTATAAATACTTTATTTTAAAAAGTTCAGCTTTAACTTTAATTATTAAGAAAAATGAAGGCATCTATCGACACTTTTTTTTATCTACATATTCTTTTATAACGATAAGTTGAGTTAAATTTAAAATCCCTGATTTTAAAATATGTCGTTAATAGCAATGTGTTCATACTTAATCATTAGGAAACATCAACCTTAAACGCTAATTCTCTTTAGCCCTGCTCCATATTGTATCATTTCCTCTGGGAATCACATAGCAGTCTTGGAAGTTTTCTTAGGTTAAGATACAATTGTCTATGATTTTATCTTTTCATTATTTCAAAACTTTTGTTTTTTAGTTTTAATAAAATATTCTAAGAGTTTGCTACTGATAATTGTACAATTAAAATTAGTTATATGAGATCTTTGCTTATTGAACTTCTGCAAATTTTATGCATTGCTGTTACATAACTACAAACATGCGTGTCCTATTTAATTTAATTAAAAAATATTTTTTCTTTGTGAATTCAATTTATTATTATTTTTCTACACTTTACTTTCAATATTTTTGTATTTATATTTTAATTACAATTATCTTGCACTGCTTTACAATGATGTTATATGGTAATCTGTGTAAAATTTTATTTTACTCTAATATTTCTTTGAATAAATTTAATATTTCTTTTAATATATATTTATTTTAATATACACCTCACGACACCTTCTTGAAGTTGTGCCCACCGACCCTAGGGCCTCCCAGTTCTTCAATGGTATCGATATAAGATAGTGGATTCGAGTAATGACCAAATTACAGTGAAATCTAGTGCAAAGCAAATGATAGTGGGTTCGAGTACCGATAAGATAAAAAAGCGAGTTGGTTCAAGATGAAATTTTAGTGATTTCAAGAATCTGTAAAAAGACAGTGGATTCAAATAACGTTCAAAATAGAGTAGGTTCGAATATCGATAAAAATGTAGTTGGTTTGTGAAATAATTAAGTGATAATGGGTTCAAGTGCTGATAAAATTGCAGCAGGTTGGAGTACTGAGGAGAAATAGAGACTACGATTATCGATCAAAAATTATAGGTTCAAGTCAAATTCAAATGATAGTGAGCTCCATTGCCAATAAAAAAGATAGTGTGTATTGTTCAAAAGCCATTGGTCTCGAAAACTTCAAATGATAGCGTGTACGAGTACCGATTTAAAGGTAGTAGATTCGAGTACAGAATAAAGGAGAGTGGGTTAAAAAAAGGTGGGTACAAATGGATTATATAATTGGTTGAAAGAGAGTTTAGAAATTGAGCAAACGAGAGTGGTTTCGAGTTATTATCAAATGATAGTTGGTTCGAGTACCGTTAAAAATAGTGGGTTCAGGGACTCCACAGACTTATATTTTTGAGCGGGGGAAAGTTCCCTTTATGCCGAATGCAATTTCGAATTTGACAGAATCAAATATATCATTCAAAAGTAAAAATGCTTCAAAAATATTTTGTTTCGAATATTTTTATAATTTGTTTATCCACCAATTGTTCTTTTACAATTGTTCCACTAACATATAACTGATTTAACGACTTTATACTAAATTACTCTAGTAAAAGAACCGCTACTGGTGATAGCGTAAGGGTCTTAACCACTGTGAAGATCAGGGGTTCGATCTCCAGAGTTGGCTTGAAGCCCACTCAGCTTCAGTCAGTTCGATGGGTACCAGTTTGTGGGTACTACATTTCCACAATCAGCCACATTGTGGAGCCTCGACCTCTGTAAAACCCCTGCCACACTATGGGCTTTTTCACTTTTATTCTAGTGAAAAAATTAAATAAACAATGAACTATTTGATAAATACATAAAAAAGATAGATTATTTTTTACCTAAGATGAAGACATTTTTTTTCACTATTACACAAATCGGATAAAAAATAACTTAGTAATCGGCAACTCACGCCTAATATCGAATAGGAATAATACAGGTATTCTGAGAATCATGCTTTTATAAGAAAAAAGTTTCAAGGGCTAAAAATTTGAAAAAATACAATTAAAAAGTTACAAATAAAGAAATTCGCTGAACTTATTTTAAATACATTTTTGTTGAACTAAAGATAAAGTAGATATAGTAAACGTGACTCGCAGAGGAAAAAAAATGGCTAAAACTACCATAATATGGAAAAATTGACCGTGTTTTGAACTCTATGGTAGGAGTGCACAATCTTTTTGAGTGAAGGGCCAGCCGAATGTCCAATGGAGAGCGGCATGCCAAAGTATTTAGACAGACATGTTGACAGAAATTCTAGGTAGTAATTGTTCTATAGGCACTAAATTCTTTTTATCAGTGTTAACTTCGTAATATGTTAGCATAAAATTAAATACTTTTAAACGTTCAAAATTAGAAATTGCAAAACTGATTACTTAGAAAAAGAAACAGAATCAAAATTAATTTATCAGGAAAAAAAGTTCAGATAATTAAAAACAATGAGAAAATTCATTTTTAACATTAAAGAAATTGCTCGTAGAATAAAATTTAAAAATATATAAATATTCTAGTTATTAAAATAAATTCAACTTAAATACTTTGATTTAAAGAAGGTTTTTATTGGGTTAAAAATGATTAAAACAAAACCCTTTCAGCGCAAAATAAGATTCAACATTTGGTAGGGAATATACTTCAACATGAAAATTTTTATTTTTATTTTAATAAATTAAAAGAGGCAGGAGCTGAGAAAGGGAGGAAAAAGAAAATATTAATTTTAAATTACTATTTTCCTTTATAATAAAAAAACTATTGCGATACTTGTTTAAAACTCCTTATGACTTATACTTTTTTAACATGACACTTACTATTTACAATAAATACTCATATTTGTTAACATTTAATTAAATTTTCATTATTTTACGATACTTATCTTAATTCCTTTTTTTCAGTTAAAATTTAATGATATAAAATGGTTTGTCCCGCAGTGGACTGATCGTTAAGACACGGTTCCCAGCAGATCACCGAAGTCTAATATCACTGGCTGCGATCAGTGTGCGGGTGGGTGACAACTTGGATCAGTCTACGTAGGGACCGAGGGTGTGCGGTATTGATCCTCGTTAAACTGTTCTACCGTAAAGTGCTCGAATTCGCGTGCAGGTCGTTAGGCCGAAACGGGGGTGCCATCCCCTCTGCAGAGGATCAAAATTGTGATGGCTTGTCTTCGGATCATTCTCAGGGATGTTTCCCAGACCGTCGCCAATAGTCCATCTTGCAGCTCTAGTGCGACGTAAATGAACTACAACAACAGAAAATGGTTAAAAAAATTTCTTAATGGCTATCCTGTAATTTACAAAATTTTCAGTTATTGTGATAATTTTATCTACTTGATCATCTGATAGCTTTTTCCGACCATTAAATGAAAATTT